GGAAGGAAGGAAGGAAGGAAGGAAGGGAGACATCATGACTTGCAAATAACTCAATTTGATATCCTCCAGCACAAATATTTTCACAGATGGAATTAGTTGGATAATTCAGGTTCTTTCTTACTCATCAGCATTCTGAGGATTATTCTTTTTAAAGCTCTTTTCATATCTTGATTTCTCAATGTGTAGATCATTGGGTTGAGCATTGGAGTAACTACACTGTATATCACAGCTATTATTTTGTTCAGGTCAGAAGATGAACGGGTGGTGGGACTTACATACATAAAAATAACAGTTCCATAATACAAAGAAACAATGGTCAGATGAGAGGCACAAGTGGAGAAAGCCTTGCGACGCCCATGTGAAGATGGTATTTTCAATATGGTTACAGCAATGTAGATATAGGAGATGATGGTGCATAGGAAAGTGCTCAGAATCACCATTGAAGAAAGCAAGAAGTTAATCTGCTGTATCAATGATGTATCAATACAAGCCAGCTTTAATAATGGTGGAATATCACAAAAGAAATGATTGATTATGTTTGGTCCACAAAACGGTAAATTTATTACCATAATGGCAGCTACCAAAGGGGCCACACAACCACTGATCCAGCAAACAATCACAAAAATAATACATATTCTTCTATTCATGATTATTGGATATCTGAGTGGGTAGCATATGGCCACGTACCGGTCATAGGCCATCACTGCAAGGAGGAAACATTCAGCTGACCCAAAGAAAAAGAAACAGTAGGATTGTAAAAGACAGCCAACCAAGGAAATTATGTGCACATTCATCAAAAGTATGGAAAGCAATTTAGGAACTGTTGAAGAAGTATACCCTACATCCAGTAAAGATAAATTTCCCAAAAAGAAGTACATAGGGGTTTGAAGATGGCTATCTGTATTAACAGTTATGATGATGATGATATTGCCAGTCAAAGTAAGGAGGTACATAGTGAGAAAGACAAAAAAGAGGGCAATTTCTACCTTCCTTGTATTAGGGAAGCCCAGAATAATGAATTTTGTTACACTCTGGTTCTGAGATTCTGTAGAGGACAGCATCTGCAAAATGTAGGAAGATATATAAGCCAGAAGAACTGCAGTTACTGTTTTAAAATCCCAATTAATAAATTAACTAAAATATTGAAGACACTTTTTGGCCTTTCTTTTTTCCTTCTAAGGTTTACATCTGTTCAGTAATATATACTGAAGATGAAAGGCATTCTTTGGAAATGTACAAACTATATTGTATAACATGTGCATAGTTTGCTCTCCATGCAACCCACCCACTGATAGATCTTATCTCTCTAAGCTATGGTCACCCTTTCTGGAAATCATTCAGACTTCAGATGGACTGATGTCCCACTGACTTAAATAGATTTAAGGCACAACTAATACTATGAATATTAATTATGCTATTTATTGAAAAGAGAAGGGATTTCTCATGGAGGGAAAAAAAAATTCCCTCCATGAGAAACAATTAAAATAATTAGAATATACATTCTACATTCAATCCATTTCCCCCTGTATATATTTAAGATAAGAGATCAAATAATCATTCCACATTAGGATTCCTGAAAATAGAAAGCTAAGAATCTCACCTTAAAATTATGTTTAAAAAATCACTTTGGGTTGTTGAGGACTGATTTATTTTTATTTTTCTTCATGCTGGAGAAATGTTAAATCAGGAAACATGAGCCCAGTACTAATGTGCAAATATGTTAAGAAGCAGCAGCTTTTTTATCAGTTAAGCTGCTAAATTAGAGTTGGCAGAATTTCTGGGGGAAAAAGGTGTCTTGTCTTTTTCTTCCCCAAGAAAGTGAGCTCTAGCACTGAGGCTAGATGGGATTAGTTATGGTAACTTCTCTAAGGAGGTTATAGATCTCTT